AGGAGTCAAAACCGCCAGGAGCCACCCACCTTGGCCAAGCAAGTGGGCAACAGGTTCACAGCCAGGTGTGAAGAGTTAGCACTTCCTGAGGAGAGGCCTCGCATCACCAACTTCTAAGCTGCTAGATAACTCCAGGCCCTGTGGCTCAGTGGAAGGGCGCAATGGACAGGGAAGCAGGAAGCCTGGGTTCTTAGTTCCTGCACATGTGTTGTGTAACCAAGTTAGTGAGGCTTTCTGAGCCTTAGTTTCTGTCCTCTTAAGTTGAGTGAAAGCATAAACTGTCTTATGCCTTTGGGAGGTATAATTGGGGGATCGTACGTGCAAAAGTGGCTTACAAAGGAAAAGTGCTATGGAAATGCTCTATTGTTAATGTTCCAGACCTCCCCCATTCGACTGGCTTTTCTAGTCCCTGGGTCCTCTTTTTCTATTTGCTTGAAGGCGTATACGTTAATTCACTAATGTGTTGGTATACGGCAGTAACTGTCTCACTAGACTGTACTGTTGGAAAGAAAAGCTAATGAAATGTATAGAAATAAAGCGAAATTTGACATTTTATCAGTGCAAGTCACCTCCTTGGACGATAGGAGCTCAGTAAATACTTTTTGACTGATTAAGCAAAAGATTATTTTGATAAGCTACCACACAGCTGCTAACCTTGCCCCCTTGCACTAATGCTTCATCTTAAGTTTCCATGGTTACCATTACATATCACAGTGTCCTATCTCTGTATATGTACAAGCTACTTCCCTTGGTTCACTGGTTTCTGGGAATCAATTTTCCTCCCTGTTTAACAATTGTTGATCACATAAATCTCTTAACATTGGATTCTGCATGAAAAACTGTTTCGGGCTCTGCTTTTAAATTCTGTCTCAAGCTGTCTAATTCACACAGAAGAAAAGTACCTCTAGCCTGGCCTGAACTTAGCCAGGCCTATGAGTGCCACTGTAACTAATTGTGAACTAAATCTGTGAAGTAGCTCTTTCCTAGATCTTGCTTGGTCGGTTGTGTTGATGTGACACATTCATGTTATCTTCCCTAGACTTTATAAAGTCCAGGAAAACTTGAATAATAGGAGTACATTTAATGGAACAGTGAACTAAATGGTACAATTCCACTACCATGTTGAGAGGTAGAAATGGTGTGTAGAAGTGTAACCTGCACAAACCAGTTGATTCTTTGTATCTTGGTTTCATCTTCTATAAAAAAAAAAACCAACAAAGTTATAGGAATCAAGTACTTTGTTGAAATAACCAGAACACAGGAATTGCCCCTCCCTTAGTGGGTTTAGGACTCTAAGTCTTGGGATAAGTAATTTGTTCTGTCCAGTCTCTTATCCTAGAAGAACATGGAATCTTGGCAAGTGGAGCACTCTTGACTTTTTCCCCCTGCAGAGATATCAAATCCTTGTCTGTGCAAATGATAAGAGTATAGCAACAACTAATGGGAAATGGCTTGATGACAGCTCTAAGCACTTATCATGCCCCTTTCCAGATACAGAAATTGAGGTTAAGTTACTTACTCGGTTACAGTGTTGCTTAGCTGAGTTCTAAACCTTTGCAGTATAATTCAGAATTTCTTTTGTTTTTGAGACAGTGTTTCTCGATGTATCTCTGGCTGTCCTGGAACTCTTTCTGTAGACTAGACTGGCCTTGAACTCAAAGATCTATCTGTTTCTGCCTCCAGAGTGCTGGGATTAAAGGTATGGCAGTGGAATTTCTTCTGAAAACATTCATTGGAGACACCTAAAACTATAATACCACCTATAAGCCTCACAGGTTTTTTTTTCTCTTAATGTCTTCTCTTACTTAGGTGTCCAGAAGTTTTTACTTTGGGCTTTTTTTTTTGTCTTAGAGCTTGAAGCCTACCTCCATATTTAGCTTGGTGGTTCTGAATATAGACGAGCTTTTCTTGAGAGACCAAAATGAAAAAAATAAAAATATGGAGTTTTGTGGGGAAACAGCCAAATGTTAAAAATGTTTATTTCTTTGGGGAGTTTCATTTAGAAATTTACCTCTGCTTATAGTGAGGTAATAATGAAAACTGTTCACTTATTCAACCAGCAATCATTGAGTATCTATTAGACTGTAGCCAGAACTGAACAGGGTCTTTGCTCTCAAGGAGCTCCAGTCAATGAGGAGAAATGAATGTAACTGCTGTTCAAGTGTTCTGTTGGAGGGCCAAACCAAGGGGAGAACAGTACTGGTTCTGCTTGGAAGTATTTGGAAAAGGCTTCACAGAGGAGGACATATTTGAACTGGGGCTCAGGAAGAAAAGAGGTATTCTTGAAAAAAAAAAAAAAACTGAAGAGTGTTTGATGTGGAGGAACCAGTTGATGTTTAGAATGGCTGTGTACCAATTAGGTTATACCTTGATTCTGTGCCACTAAAAAGACTTAATTAAAAAAATGAGCCCAACATGGTGGCATGCATCTGTAATCCCCACACTTTGGAATCTGTGCAGGAAGATGAGCGTGAGATGAGCCTGAGCTATATATACTGAGTTATAGGCCAATCTGAACTACAATAGTGAAACCCTGTCTCAGCGAGGTAGGGAGTGAGTATGTGTGAATTTAGAAGTCTAGCACTTCACTTGGGAGCCAGATTCATTTGTGTTTGCATAAGAATACCAGCTTCAAGTTAGAAGCAGAGGGCGTACACAAAGGGTGTGAACGCAACCCACCTACGTTTTTGGCTAGCTTTTTGGTTTCTGGCATTACTTGGATAGGTCCAGGTATAACTCTTCTTATTCCTCCAGCAACCTACATGCATGTGTGAAAGACAGAACCCTTCTTTGGTCAAAGACACAAAACCAAATGTGAAAAGCTAATGAATAAGTTGCCTGACTCATTAATTCAATGAGCATGAGTGTCTGTGATATGGCAGGCTCTGTACTAAGCACTAAAAATACTATAACAAAAAGATAGTCATAGAGCCTGTCATCAGTGAGTTCCCTTAAAGCTATAGGTTCCTCAGTCTGATGTTTATACCGTGAAGGTGTATAACTTGTAATACATGCTCTTAAGATCGTTTTTAAGACAAGGACTACTATACATTTTTTATGCATGTAAGCCAGTTTGGACGGTCAGATATTGATCACCACTATTACCCTTTTAGCCTTTGAGCAACGTCTACCAATTGGGATACTCAGATCAAGTGGACTAAATTCAGCAAGTCTAATAAACACAGATTATATTTGTGTAGCCAGACAGCAAGGTGTTTTGTTGCCCAAAAAATTGGCATTTTCAGTAGCCATTCATTAATTCATTCTTCTGTGTTCCAGGTTAATAATCCAGTTGCATGGGAAGGAACAGCATGTTCAAGATACCATTCCTATAAATAGTCACTTCAGATGTGTTCAAGGTACTTGCTTTAATGACTTAGCTAGTTTAAAAGGCCTCACTTTGGTCATTAATGTAGTGTATAATGTCATACATATTCAAATTTGTCACTGCATGTAAAATGAAATATATTACTCTTCATAGAAAAGGTTAACATTTCTAACCTGCCATCGAAAAGATAAATGTTATGTTAAAAATGGGGAAGAATTATATTTTAAAATACATATGTATGTATTACCTGCTTCCCTGGGTATGGCTGGAGATATGTGTAAGTTATCTTTTATGCTAACTGGCATATGTGGATTGAAATGACTACCTTGGGCTTCTGCCCATTGTAAAGGATTCACACATTTGGCACTTTGTTTCCAAAGTACTGGATTTAAGTCGCCTGGGTAACATGAAGTGTCAGATTGTAATATCCCATATCAGTTATAGTGGTTCTCAAGCCTTGACATTGGTGAATCATCACTCTGGGGAGGAAATCCTTGGGTTTCTGCCCTCACATTTGAGGACTGAACATAGAAGAATCTCCTTTCATTTGCTACAATGAAACTCAGAAACTGGGAGAGCTGTGTAGGAGGTATTGCTCTGGCAGCTTCACATTGTTCTAGAAAGGAAGCTGATTACTAGAAAACAAATAGATTATGTCTCGCAAAGGTCCAGTGCTTCTTTCAGGGAGAAGCATTCTATACCCAGGGCAGGGTCTTGAGAACTTGAGTCCCACCTTGTGCACTTTATCTTTCACAACAGTCACATGCATGCTGGAAAGAGGCTGGAAAGAGCAGCAGTGCACAAAGAAAACAAGTCACCTACATTCTCATCCTTTAGAGGCACCTAGCATCTGTTTTTTCTCTGTGCACGGAACACATCATTCAAGCACGACTCATCCTATGCAAGCAGTTTTTCTCTGATCCACTTGCTACTGCATTATGAGTGTTGTCCATGCTGTCGATGGCTATATGCTGTTTCATTTTACGAATAGCTCATAATCTAATTATTCACTCTGGTTGAAATTTAGATTACTGTTTGCTGGTATAAATAGTAATGGGGTGAACATCTCTGTACATAAATCTTCCCACATATTTATTATTTGCTCAGGATTTATCCCTGTAAGTGAATACAGTCAGTCTGTATGACTTTTCAAACAGTATATTGAAAAGAAAGCACAGTATTATGAAGAACTCAAAAATACTGAGCTGGCCATAGTGACTCGCACCTGTTATCCCAGAAGAAAGCTGAAGCAGGAGGATTGGAAATTAGAGGCCAAGCAAGAGTTCCAGGCTAGATGTGGCCATGTAGTGAGACCCTGCCTCCAACAACAACAGAAAGCAGAAGGAACAAGGAGAGCGGAAGAGAGGGGAAAGGAGGAAGAGAAAGAGGAGAGGGTAAATTGAAAGACCTACAGGAGTAGTGTCTACAGTGTGTGGAAAAGCAAGTCAGCTATTGAGTCTGCCCCGTGTGGGAGACATTCTAAACAAGGTACCTGCGTGCTGTAATGAGTTACTGCACACACCTTACTTTATAAGTGGCAGCCTAACACAAAAGAGCCAAAGGTTTTGGTGTCCTGGCATAGGTTTGGCCTTTCCTACTACTTCTAGGGTCACATTTGTATTATTTTTCATAAGAAGTAGATGGCCAGTTGCTAGATTGCAGTGGAAAACACGTATGCCTTTGTTTCCCCCATGACTTATTTGAAACATTATGCCATTGAGTTTTCACTTCCTTTCTACTTCCTGACTTGCATGTCTGTTTGGAAAACTAATCACTCAGAGTTTTGTGGAACTAAAGGGTACCACAGAACAATGGTAAATATAGACTGTCTTCATTTCCTACTTACGTCACCCTGGAAGAGACAGTAGAGAGACTCCGTTCTGCAATTAGACAACTTAGTTCCTTACTAATTGCTTTTTTTTTTTTGCACCTGAGTAGTAGAACCTGGTGTTGAATCTAGTGCCATGAGGAAGCTAGAAAAGTGTGTGGCTTCCCATCTGATCAACAGAGATCCTGGTTGATTCCAACTCGGAACCTCAGGTCAGCCTGAGGCAGTAGCCTGTGCTCAAATCTAGGGAAGTCAGAGAGGAAAAGGTAGGTTGAGTTCAGATACTCAGACTAAAAAGGAAGTCCAGGAAAACCAGTGAAAGAAAAGACAACTCTAAACTTGCAAACAGCTTGTGCTGTCTTCTTTTTTCCTATTGGCACAACATTAGAGAGTGCAGTGTAACAGTTTGAAACATGTAATGATCAAATTGAAATAATATTTCTTTGCATTGGGAGTATCAAAGTCATATAGTTATTCTAAGATTTGTAACCTTGTGTGGCATACTGAAGTTACCCTGCTATGCTGTAGGGCACTAGAACTTAGTCCCCCTACCTAACTGTACTTGCTGTCCACCCTCTCTCTCCCCTCTCTCTCTCTCTCTCTCTCTCTCTCTCTCTCTCTCTCTCTCTCTCTCTCTCTGTCTCCCTTGATCCCTTTACCTACTCTGTGCTTCTAGGAGATCATTTTCTTTTTTTTTAGCTTCCACATGTAACTGAGAACATGCAATATGTGTCATTCTGTAACTGGCTTGTTTCACTTAGCATAATATCCTCCCGTTTCATCCAATAGCCAAAAGGACTGGATTTCATTCTTTTCTTCCTAAAATAGTATTCATTGTGTGGTGTACACTATATCTGCTTTATTCATCTGTCTGTGGACACTTCAGTAGATGGATCTTGTGAATAGTGTTCCAGTTAAGACAGCACTCTATAAGTGTCTGAAACTTCTTATTGAGTATGATAACTTTTGGGCCCATAGCCATTCACTGGAGCCTAAGAGGGAAGAACTTTAAGTATACTCTACTCTTAGACAAGGCAAAAGCAGAGATGATGAGATCATTGACAAAGTTTCGGAGACTATGTCTGAGTTGAGATAATAATTCTGTGAGAATAATCCTGCTCTGAGGCGTTTAGTCACTTCCCTGGCTTTCTATAAGATCTAAAGAACACAAAGAGCTAAACTTCCCTTCACTTGCATGAACATGTTATCATGTTCCCTACTATTAAGTCACGGTCCCTTGATTTTCTTTGAGGAACTCCAGTTTGGTCCTTGATCAGTTCTTTTTATTTTGTTTCTTAAGTTGAATTGTACATAGTCTTTATAACCTGGGGCTGTTAAAATTCTTTTGAAAAATATGCCAAACAAAAATAATAAAAGGATTCTTTAATGTGTTATTCAGGAGGGGTGACTGGATGATGCTTTTATTTAGTTATGAAATAGTGCTTTGGTGGTAATGAGTAGTTTTCTCCTCTGTGATTCTGTTGTGTTTTTTCCTCCCCTTAGAAGCAGAAGAAACTCTTTTGATTGATATTGCTTCAAACAGTGAGTATCTTTCTGAATGGAGTTGGTTTTTATTCTACAAATACTGACTTTATTACTCTATATTTAAGAAGCTTTCGGGCAGACATCTTGTATTTTGCCATCTCATTCTATAGTCGCCATTTTCTTAAGGCCGCCCTACACATTATCCTCATCTCTCAAAACCATTCCATCTGAGCCCAAGAAAACACAGGTTGCTGCTAAGAAACTTTATGAAGCTGAAATGTGATCAGCTACTGAAAAGCTTTATGTCACTTGCAGCTGCAAGTATTGCCACTACTGATGGCATCACTGCTGAGGAACTGAATAATTGATTAATTATAAAGAAGAGTTAGGAAAAGGCTTAAAGCACTTCCGGTTTACAGGTCACCTTTTTCTTTTTATTTTATATACTTATTTTTGTGTGTGTGTGTGTGTCTATCTATGTATGCAGATGAGCATGCATGTGTATGTGCATTTGTTTGTGTTGAGGCCTTAAACCAATGACATTTTTAGGTGTTGTCCACCTTTATTTTTGAGACAGGGATTTACCAGCTTGAAGTTCACCAATTAAGCCAGGCTGGCTGGCCAGTAAGCACCAGGAACCTACCTGCTTCTGTATCCCCAGCACTGATTCCAAGTATGCTCCACCATTTCGAGCCTTTTTACATAAATTCTGAAGATCAAATTCGGGTCCTCATGCTTAAATGCCAAACACTTTACTGACTAAGCTATCTACCCAGCCATATTAGGTTTTTTATGTATGTATTTATGTATGTATGTATATATTTAAATTAAAAATATAATTACATTATTTTCCTTCTTCCCTATCCTCCCCGCAGCTCCTCCTTCCAATTTCTTCCATGTCCCCCCTACTCTCAAATTGATAGCCTCTTTTTTATTATTATTGTTACATATGTGTGTGCATGTGTGCGGAAATACACAAATAATATCTGCTGAAATAGTTTCTGTTGTTTGTGTGTATAAGGTTTCAGAGCTGACCACTTTGTATTGGATAACAATTAGGGACTCATCCCTGGGTGAGGCTAATTGTCCCTCTCTCGACAGTCATTAGTTGCCATTTCTTTTGTTGCTGTTGCTGTTGTTGTTGTTAGCATACAGAGTAATAGATTTCATCATGACATTTTCAAGCATACTTTGGCTATATTGACTTTCCTCCCACAGTAGACTGTCTCCTTCCTGCTCACCCCATGCTTCACCCCCCTGGTCCTCCTGCCTGAATGCAACATATATTCTTTTACCCTGTTTTCCTCTCCCCACCCTCACCTTAAGATCTTTTCCTCTCTCATAGTTCCCTTTCCAGTATCATAACCTGTAACCCCACACACAGATGCCCCGGATACTTATTACAATTTAGGCTCTGCATAGGAGAAAAAACATGCTGTATTTGTCTTTCTGAGTCTGAGATACTTCGTTAACATTGTCAGTGCAATTTTTTACACCCATTTTCCTGCAAATGTCAGGAGTCTGTTTCTCTTTGTGGCTGACTAAATGGTAATCTTTCGACTGCTGTTATATTGTAGACTTTCCTCCCACCTTCTTTTTATGTTTTTGTGTAAATTCACAATGTTTCCACCTATTCCTTATATTATGCTGAAAGGCACAGAGTCTATTAAATTACTTGTTCAAGCATTCTCTTTTCTTTTTTGAAATAATTTGTGTCCTACTTAAGCCCTGTTCCCTCATGGCCTCCATTCATCAGATGGAACATGATCTTCTTTTTGCTGTTTCTGTGCTTTCGGTTTTTTTTTTTTTTATCAGTTTGATGCAAATCACTGACTTTCTGTGCAAGATGTTCTTTGTTTATCATCTAATTGTGCTGTGCTCTGGAGAGGAGAAAATGGGCACTTGATTGCTACTGTGACTACCGTGTGGTTGCTATGGAAAGTGTATCTGACCACATGAATCCAAATCAAATGGTTTGCCTTGGATAAGTAGAATTTGCCATTTAGCTTGGGGCTATAGGTCGTACATAATTTTGTTTGGAGACAGTCTCTGCTCTTGGTTCTATTAGGCACTATTAATTTGTACGGAATGCTTTTCTACCTGAGTTTATTATTCCTTTCTTTAACAGTAGAATATGGAAATCTTAAAGGCTGGTCCTAACATGCTATGTAAACCTAGCTGCTTGCTTCTGTTGCAGATATCCAACAGAGAAAATAACTCAGAATCTGTGTTTTATTGTAGCTAGACAAGAGAAGACAACACAGCACCAGGCTGTAGATGTAACTCAGTTGATAGTGTTTGCCTATCATCCAAAAAGCCCTGGTTCCATCCCCAGCACTGCATAAACTGGGTGTGGTAGCACACATCTGTAACCCCAGAGCTTGAATTTCGGGAAGGAGGATCAGGAATTCAAGTTTATCCTTCGTTACATAGGGAGTTCCAAGCTGGCCTGGGCTACATGAAACCCTGTCTCCAAAACAGGCTTTTGTTTTTGTTTTGTTTTGCTGTTGTTGTTTAGGAATATAGGGTCAGGGAGAAGTCTCAGTGAGTAAAATCACTTGATGCACAAGACTGACAATCTGAGTTCAGTCCCTAGAAAATAATACCCTTTGTTAATGGGCAAGACTGATTTTAGTGTAAATATATATTGTCTAGATGCTACTAGTAAATATCTTGAAAATATTTTTTCTGGTTATAAAGTTAATGCATGCTAATTATGTATACTTTGTGCCATCAAAATTTTGAAATATCAAATTAAAATTATTAGGTAGAATGGGAGAGATGGCTCATCAATTAAGAGCAAGTATTGCACTGCAGAGGACCAAAGTTCAGTTCCCAGTGCTCACTTCAGGTGGCTCACAACTGCCTATAACTCCAACGGCAAGGGACCCAATGCCCTCGTATGTGCATAACATAGACACATAATTAAAAATTAAACCTTTGAAAATTATCATATAATCTTGAAGTTATACTGTAGCTAACATTGATACGGATTTCCTACTGCTTCAGATTATATTTCCAAATAATTGGAGTTCTTCTACGTAGTTTTTTGTGGGAAGGTTGTAATGCTAAGCTTTGGCGCTGGGGGGCATATTCTGTATAACTGAGCTATACCCCTACTGCTTTATTTCCAGTTTTTATCATGGATTTTTACTTAACACTTGACCATGACATTTCCCTTATGGCATTTAAGATCACTTTAAACATAATTTTGTTGTCGTTCTTTGTTTGAGACAGTTCTATCTATCTTAGGCTAGCCTCAATCTCTTTATGGAGTCAGAGATGACATTCATCCTCTACCTCCTCCGTGCTGGGATTGTCTTATTCCACCATGCTTGGTTGTTCAAACATTATTTCACCACAGCTATTTTGTCACAGTCTTATTAAGTAGTTTCTTTATAAAATTAAATCACCTTGAAGGAACATAATACATCTCTTTATTTCAGTCCTCTTTTATAGCGCTCAGTAAAACCTTGCTTTTTTTAAATGTACATCAGATTTTTAAGTTAAGAGTTTCATGGTGGATTTGATTTGCTGATATTGTGGGATTTTTTTTCTGTTTATCTTAACTTAAAAATCTGATGGAACAGAGGGCCTAAAAGACTGGCAACAACTGGGGGGAGGAGTATTCCAGATATAGGGGGTCATGAGACTCCAAATTTAGAAGTACCCCGATACTTTCTGGGAAATAAAATACTAGGGTGCCTGGAATAGGGCTTGAGCACTAAGGCAAGAGAAGCTATAATCAGATCCAGTAGAATCTTGTAAGCCACAGTGTTGAATCTACATTTTTAGATTTTAAAAATGAGAAGTTAGGGATTTTATGCTGATATAGCATCATTTGCCTGGAAGCATAAAGACCATTTAGGAAGCTGCTTTGGTTGTATATGCTAGAGAGTATGGTGGTGATAGAAATGGAGAGAAGTTAGTAGATTTGGTAGATGAATTTGGAGGTAGGATCAAGAAGAATTGGCTTGGGTGTGGAGAGTGGGAAGAGAAGTGTCAAGGATGGATACTGGGTTTCTAACCGGAACTTAGGTGATGATGCCCATTTGCAAAACAATATTGAAGACAGAAAGAGTTTTCCTTTAAGAGTATCATCAAGAATTCATCTTTGAAAATATATTTTCTCATTTGTTTTAGAATTTTATACAATGCATTTTGATCAGTTTTACCTACTTCCTGGGCAAGGAGTCACCTTCTGCAGGGTGGTTGACCTACTAGAAGCCACACCGTTAAATAAAACTGACTCTTCCTCCCCTTGAAGCCATCAGCTGTCCATAGCTCTTCAGTTAGGATTAAGGGCTCATGAACCCCTTTCCACTTGATGCTAGAATGTTGATTGGCTGGTTTTTGTAGGTCCTATGCACATAGCCACAGCTTCTGTGAGCTCGAGTCAGAATGGACCTGTCATGCCAAGAAGACAGTTTTGTTTCAATCTTCCCCAGCCTCTGGCTCTTGCTGTCCTTCCACCCCCTCTTTCAGACGATCTCTGAGCCTTGTGAAAGGAATATGACATAGAAGTCCCATTTGTGGCCAAGCATGCCACTAACACTTACTCGTTGCATTTTGTCAAGTTGTGAGCTTCTTTCTTAACCACTGCCCACTGCACAAACTTTTGGATAAAGGCTGAGAGCTTTAAGGGCAGGTTGATACTGTGTCCATTTAGCAGAGTAATAGCAGTAGGTTTACCCCCTGGGGCTTTTGAGTACCCCAACCATGGGTTTGTGGCTGGATTTACAGTACCAGTGAATGCAGTTTTAGCCATGTTTAATTGAGATTTCTTTGAGACCAATGTGTGTGGATGACAAACTGGCAGCCAAATAGATGCCATGCAGAAGCAAAGTCTAAACCACTAGCACGTGAATGATATACAAACCATGAGAAGTGATGTGATTGTGTCGAGAGCTGTGCTGTTTCACACAGTACTGTCTGATGCTTATACCTTACATGAATTAGAAGTGAAAATCAAAACTCAGGGCTCCATTTCAGTAATCACTGTTCAAGAGCTCACTAGCCAGATGTGACCCTACTGGACAGCCAAGCCATAGAGCATGCACATCATCACAGAAAATTTAGGACAGTGCTGTATAGAATGAGAAAATAATTTGGGCTAATTCAAAGAAGCCTGTTTCTTTAAAGTTACATAGAGGAGGAACCACTTCAAAAAGTAGTAACAACTAGTGTCCCTAGTAGACAGACTGGATGAGTGGTTTTGGAAATTTGGAATGGGGAGCATCTACCCAAAGAATAGTAGGAAATGTGATTCCTGAGAGGACTGGGGGATGTGTGAGGGATACTTGGGATCTTAGTAGAGGGGATCTTCTTTTAATTAGATAGAAGCAATGAGTACAAACAGGTAGGCTTCAGTTCCTTCAACACTAGGTTAAGCAACCCGCTGAGGTGGGAGACAGCATGAGAAGGAGTTGCTCCATAGTCTGAGAATGCATGAGAAGATGTGAAATATAATATTCCAGATAACATTAGGAAACTACTTACCTATGGGAAACAACTGCTTTCTAGGCTAGCGGGTCCATTGGAGGTTGGTGATCAAAATTTTATTATGTTAGCAAAGTTGGGGGTAAAAGGGTTTACTTGGCTTATGTTTTCATGTTACTGTTTATCATCGAAGGACATCAGTGCAGGAACTCAAACAACAGGGCAGGAACCTGGAGGCAGGAGCTGATGTAGGGGCCATGGAGGGGTGCCGCTAACTGGCTCACTCCCGCTTCAATCACTAAGGATATGCTCTACAGGCTGGCCCACAGCCAGATCTTACGGAAGCATTTTCTCAGTCGAGATATACTCCTCTCAGATTACTATAGTTTGTGTCGAGTTGACATAAATCTGGCCAGCCCAATATGTATGTGTACTTGTGTGCTTATTTCCTCTGGTTGCTCTGGTGAAAGTACAGAGAAGGCAATTAGTTGGACTTTTGTGGGTTGGAATTTAGCCAAATAGGTGCTGTGGGAGACCAGAGGTAAGGCAATTGTGGATTTTTGCAACAGACTACAAGAGAAAGGGAGAAGTGAAAGCAAGAAGGGTTCCATGGATAGAAAATGATGAGATTAATGGGCTGGCATTGTGTGATGTCCAAAACAATTACAGTGAAGGTAATAAGCAAGTAAATTGAGAGGAATAATAGGTCACAGCCAGATGTGTGATTTGACATGTGTTAGGTGGTGGTGTTTTCATGACGAAACATCTAGGATATTATTGAGGAAGTGAGGAAATGGTGGCTGAGGTGGAATGGGAAGCTCATTGAGTGAAGAAATTGAAGGTGTTAGCTGGCTTTTCTGCACCAGTTTTTAACAAAGTTTATTTTTTAAATATTTATTTATGAGCCAGGTGTTGGTGGCACACACCTTTAATCCCAGCACTCGGGAGGCAGAGGCAGGCAGATCTCTGTGAGTTCGAGGCCAGCCTGGTCTCCAGAGCGAGTGCCAGGATAGGCTCCAAAGCTACACAGAGAAACCCTGTCTCAAAAAGCCAAAATAAAATAAAATAAAAATAATATTTTAATAATTTTAAAAATCTAAGCCCTTTGTAAATTTTCTTTTATGTATTACTATTTTTTTACTGTGTATATGTGTTTTGTATGCATGTATGTATGTGCACCATGTACATGCTGGATGCCTGAAGAGACCAGAAAAGAGTATTGTATCCCCCTAGAACTGGAGTTACAGAAGGTTGTGATTTAACATGTGGGTGTTGGGAATTGAACCTAAGTCATCTGGCAAGAGCATCAAGTGCCCTCGACTGCTGAGCTGTCACTCCAGTCCCAGTAAATTTGCTTATAATTCTCTTTCTCAATTGACTATTCTTGAACCAACCCACTCTTGGAATAGATCATTATGATGCATTGGCAAGATTATTCAAGATACTCATTTTTACTTGTAGTTTTTTTTTCACTTTTGTTAATGAGGTATAGGTATCTCCTCAGAACACTTCAAACCAGTCCCGCTATTTTTAAGTTGGCTTTAAATTTAATTTACTCAGAAACGAACCATGTTACTTCCTGTCTTGCCTTCATGCTTTAGAACACCATAAGATCTGGAGTTGAAATGGTAGGAATTTCCAGTATGGAGATAGAAAGAGGGTTACTGATGAATATATCTTTTGCTAGAATTTAGAAATCCCTTCAGTGACATCTGAGAGATCGGGACATAGGAAGCTATGATTTAGTGTGCCTATTGCTAGATCAGTCTGCTCATTGACACAATTCATCAGCACTGTGAGTACTGTCTTCCCGTAGGGTTTCCTCTCTGCTTCATCCCCTCTACCATCTTAACACTGGAGACCTTGCTCTTGAACATGTGCTCCTTATTAAGGGTCTAGAGTATTTGCAATCCAGGTCTCCCACTGACCAAGAAATTTGAGAATATTGTCCCACTAAAGCAGTGTATCCCATAGCTAGGTATCTGTGCATTTATTTCTTTTTAAAGGTGGCTGCAAAATTCGGGTGCAGGGAGACTGGACCAGAGAGCGCCACTTTGAAATTCCTGATGAAGAACACTGTGTAAAGTTTCTCTCAGAAGTCCTTGCAGCTCAGGAAGGTAACTCAAGACTCAGCAATTTCCTTTTCATTATTTCAATGGGAGTAAAATAGTGACATGCCCATTCAGAGGAACATAGCCATTAACAAAACCCCCTGCCCCTTGAGCCCTGATAGCTGATTTTTTCCCCTTCAGGAATGAACCCAGGATAGATTAAGGAACAAGTCTACCCAGCTCTAAAAAGAAAGTCAGTGGCATGGCATGCAGTTTACTGCAGCCTGTGATCCCCCCTCCTTCTGCCCCCAGATGACTCAGAGATGTTGGTATTTCCTTAGTCTCTTCCATTCCTTTCTAGAATTGTGCTGATCATGCACTCAAGGACTTTGAATAAATAAATAGCTTTGGGTTTTAATTTAGTGATGGTCTTCCCAGTTTCTGACCTAAATCTTATCTCCCCAGCTCAATCACAGCTTCATGTTCCAGAACAAAAAGACTCATCTAGCTGGTACCAGAAATTAGACACTAAGGATAAACCTGCTTATTCAGGTATTGAAAGACTCCTTTATCTCTGTTTGCTGTGATCATTTTAAAGTCAGTAGATTGTCTTAGTTCAGATTAATTGGTTGTGTGGGGCAATTTTATTGAACCCATGTACTAATGCTTCACTCTATGGTATAGTAGCTCTTTATAAGCCAACTGGGAGGGAAAAAAGGTTAGAAAGTACAAACTCCACAGCCAGACAGCCTAGGTTCAAATGTCAAGTCACGAAACTTATTAATTATGTCATCATGTTCAAGTGACTCAACAACTCTGAACTTCTCTTTCCTTCTCTACAATGTGGGAAGATTTTTTAATGCTACACACCTTATGAGGTTATTGTAATTTAAGGAAGACAAATGATATATAATCCCTTCTGTAAATGTTGGCTTGTATTATTCAGGGTCAAGACCAGTATAAATTTCTATCATTTCAGTTAGTGTGTCAATGCTTCTGGGATAAATATGAGTCTTACCCTAATATAAGTGATTATTACCCTTGTGGTACCCTCCTGTTTAGCAACATTACTGATGAGGTCATAAGCAAACAAAAGCCTTGCCTATCCTGGCTATGTTGGAGGGTCTCTGGATCTTCATTTTGACTTTGGACTTGTATCCTTCAGGGCTGCTTGGATTTGAGGATAATTTTTCATCTATGAATTTCGATAAAAAAATAAACATACAAAACCACCCCACAACAGCTCTTCGGGAACCACCCCCTCCACCTCCTTCAGTGAATAGAATGTAAGTCCTATGTTGCAATATACGTCGTCCATCCTGTCCCATCCACACACACCCCCCACACACCATAAGAAGCCTACATTTTAGCCAGTTTTACTTTTGAATCCCTGCTTGATTTGCTAGGCCTTCTCGTGAAAAGGAAGCTTCAAACAAGGAACAGCCCACAGTGACCAACACCATGCGGAAGCTATTTGTACCCAATACCCAATCTGGGCAGCGAGAGGGCCTCATCAAACATATCCTTGCAAAGCGAGAAAAAGAGTATGTCAACCTCCAGTCTTTCAGGTTTGTCTGTCTTCTACTCACTGAGTCTAAGAATTTAGATATTTAACAGTATTTTAATTTGTAAAAATTTTAACTTCATTAAGAGTCAAAGCACACTATAAGGCAATGATCATCTGACTCAAGCTCATGTCTCTGCTGGCCAAAAAGTATATATATCTAAAATTATGAAGAAGCTATACTTCCAATTTCCTAACTGGTAATGACACTATGTCTACTAATATTTCTATCCACACTTAGAGAAACAAGCCAAACTCACATATAATAGAAAATTGTCCTCTCACACCTTCTATAAACAAGTACGTCTCATCTTGCCTGCCGAACCTTTGTCCAGCCAGTACTGAAAAATGAAAGTCCATGATTATTACCATATATTAATTTACTGCTTTGATAAATTAACTAAATTTTCACCCAGTCCCCTTGATTTGGAAGATATGTCCTGAATCCTTTTGTATTAGCTTTCACTGCACCTTGGCTCATTAGCATCCCCTTTTCTGGACCCTTTTACATGTGGTGTAAAGGGGAGGTGAGGAGGCATGGCAAGTATCCCCAGTGTGTTATTCATGGACAGAATATGCCTTTCTAATCCAGGAGTCCAGTGCCACCTGCTACCCTAACATGCATCATTTCCTCGAATTCAGTCACAACTGCAGTTCCTCATATGCTACACAGCGCTTAGATGTGAACAATTAAGACAGTCACATGAGTCATCCCTTCTGCCTTCCCGCTTAGTGTACTATCTGCCTCATCAAAATTTCCCAAACAGTTGTCCTCATGATCCTCAGGAAGTGGGTTTTTTGTCAGTTTAGTTATAGCTCCTTACAGAACAGTTGTCCATATTAGACTGTGCACAGCACAAAGATATCTCTTTCCCTTCGTAACCTAAAGCTCTCCCTTAATGAATTTGGATGGTGTTTAATTGAGTGGAAATTTGGCAAAACAGTTAAGTGTGTTTGTTTGAAATACAGACCTAGTTCCTTTTTGTTGATTCACTTGATGTAAAATACAATAAACCCATGCCTTTGTATTCTACGAGCAAATTTTTTTTCTTATGTATCTGGAAAAACACTTTAAAGAGTTATATTAATCAAGATACCCTTTCATAGAAGTGTTAAGAGCAGTATTGTTTGTTCACACTTTATCTTTGTTTTCAAATTAATTTTTTGTTGTGCTGTATTAGATTTTTTGTTGGAACATGGAATGTGAATGGCCAGTCTCCAGATAGCAGCTTAGAACCTTGGCTGAACTGTGATCCAAATCCTCCTGATATTTACTGCATTGGGTAAAGACCACTTCAGGACCTTCCTTTTCCTAGATTTGGTATTAATGTAACATGACTTTGGCCTCTCTCTCTCATGTTTGTGTGTTTATGTATGTAAATGTGTTAGCCTGTACATGTGAGCACCAGGTCATTGGGCATCTTCCACGATCACTCTCCATCTTATTTTCTTTCCTTTTTTCTTTCCCTATTTCATTCATGTATATAATGAATTTTAGTTGTTTCCACCCCTATTACCTGCTCTCTCTCCTGCTGAAACCTTTCTTCCTAACAAGTCTCCCTTCTACATTCACACCTGCTTTATATACATAACCCATTGCGTTTATTTGGAGTTTCTTGTGTGAGCGTGGATGGGAGGTTATTTACTGGCACATGAGCAACTTCTCTGTGGGTTTACCACTAAACAGTGTCAGCCTTTCTACCAGCAACCATTAACTGCTCATTGCCCATCAGAAAAGGGTAGAACCTCATGGACCCCTCCCCTATCCATAATGAAATGTTGATGGGCCCAATCTTGTACAGGTCTTATGCAGATAACCACAGCTGTAGTGAGTTCAAGGGGAGCAAGGACTCTGTCATCCAGAAGATGTCTTTTGCAGTACATGTCCCCATGTTCTGGCTCTTACATTCTTTCCATATCCTCTTTCACATGTTCCCTGAGCCTTGGAATATGTGATGTAGCTGTCCCATAGTGGCAGAGCACTCCACCATCACTAATTCTCAGCACTCTGACCAGTTAGGAGTTCCTACATTAACTGCCACCCACTTCTATGATAAAGCCTTATCGGCCTTATTTTGCTTGACACAGGGTCTCTCCACTGAGCCAGGAGTTTGCCTACAGATCCTCCTGTCTTGCTGGAATTGCATTCATGTCCTACACAGCCAGCTTTTTTATTTAACTTGAATGCTGAGGATTGACCTCATATCCTCACACTTGTACAGCAAGCACTTTACTGATGGATCCATTTCCCCATCCTTCATCTTCCTATTTTAAAAACTTGTTTGGTAAAAACTTGATGCGGACTATATGTGAGGGTTAATTTGTGGGTCAAAAGAAAAAAATTAATGAAACACAAAGGAAACTGCTCATCCTAGGAACACATGACATCAATTCTCATAGTGATTATTAAAAGGTTATAGATGTTTCACTATTGTCCCTAAGAGAGTTTTGATTGTTATCATTTAGTTTTGCATAACCTATGAATATAATAGTGGGGGTTCTTTAGAAAAACTACTTGTCTTTTATAAAACTTATCTTGCCATTTTTTCCTTTACCTAATGTCTCAGCAAATGGGAAAGGAGGTAGCAGGTAGCAGCCCACAAAAACTTGTGGGGTGTGTATAGCTCCTGCATCCATTTTTCCCTCAGATTCCAAGAGCTGGATTTGAGCACAGAAGCCTTTTTCTACTTTGAGTCTGTAAAAGAGCAAGAATGGTCCATGGCTGTGGAAAGGGGTCTGCCTTCAAAGGCCAAGTATAAAAAAGTAAGCTGCACTGGATTCTCTTTTTCAGTGTATAACTAAGTAGACCTCACTGGGAGTTATTCCATTTTCTGAGCCTCTTCCAAAAGATTTGTTAAATAACTGAATTCTTCCCCATATGAAATACTGTGCTATAGGAGACTAATCTACCATAGTTACTTCTGGGTGGGGGGAAGCATAAACTTTCTGTTCATAATTTTTTATCACTTAGGTAGTTTTTAGAAGAAAACCATTTATTGTTTTTGTATAAATAATTACATATAAGCTAACTGATCTGTCTGTGAAAGTTTAAGATTGTTTGCCAACGTGGCCAGAATTAAATGCCTACAAGAAAAGCAGAATGAAGCCTGTGGGTGCATAAAGTATCCATTACATTCAGAACAAGAATAACAAATTCTAGACTTCTTTGTAGGTGAAGAATAAAGTTGAGGAGCTGGAGAGATGTCTCAACAGTTAATAGCACTGACTGCTCTTCCAGAGGTTCAATTCACAGCATCCACATGGCAGTTCATGACTGTCTCTAACTCCAAGATCTTACACTCTCACACAGACATACATGCAGGCAAAGCACAAATACACATAAAATCAAAATAAATAGTTTTTAAAAGGTGTGTGCCATAACACCCAGCTATTGTTTAAAAAAGGAAAAGAAAAATAGTCTTTAGAAGCTATCTGATAGATGCATTTAGCTATTAGGAGAGTTATTTTCATTTTAAGATGACTATTCTAATCTCAGAAGGAGTAATAGAATGTTCTTCTATGCTTCTGAACAGTGTATGTAGGTGGCATAAATCGTGAAGTTGTTATGGCTCTCTAGCTCAAGTTTAGATTTAAAAAAAACTCAAAATTCAAAGGATCACTGTTTGTAGATTTAAATATCTTAGACAATGAGAAATCAGAGTCTAGGAAGGAAAAGGAAGAAGAACAAGCTTGGATAATGGTTTGTTCTTTACTATTTGAACTTTTAATGTATATCAGTAGGCTACAGAGTGATGTAAAAAGAGAGGTAAGACAGAATATGAGTTAGTGGTAGAGTACCTGCATAGCATGCTCAAGGTCTTTTATTTGATCCTCAGCACTGACAAATAGAAACAGAGAGAGAGGAACAAACTTATGCATTGTCCTTGGAGCTTCTGACTTTTATTCATCAAATTTAAACTAGAGCTTCCATAGAGAACCTTGGTTTCCAGTTTATGGGGTCCAATAGGAAATTAAAGGATGCAGATCAGATTTGGACATCTTTGTTGGTCATTCTGGGAAGGTAGCTATGTTGCAGAGAGTGATGCTCATATTAGCTGTTTGTAACTCCCTGGAACTCATAGGTTCAACTAGTCCGCCTTGTGGGGATGATGCTTCTTATATTTGCCAGAAAAGATCAGTGTCGCTATATCCGTGATATTGCTACAGAAACAGTTGGAACTGGAATTATGGGGAAAATGGTGAGTTACTTTGACAATTAAATTGATTACTTTTTATATCTATGTGAAATTCAATTTCACCTTGCATTCCCTAACTTTATAATTACTTTTGCTACCAGGGAAACAAAGGTGGTGTTGCTGTGAGATTTGTATTTCATAACACCACCTTCTGCATTGTCAATTCCCACCTGGCTGCCCATGTGGAAGAGTTTGAAAGAAGAAATCAAGATTATAAAGACATCTGTGCAAGAATGAGTTTTACAGTCCCCAATCAGGCTCTCCCACAACTGAATATCATGAAGCATGAGTAAGTGCTTACCACTCCATGGCCTTAGAATAGAGAGGTAACTGATTAAATAGGGTGAGAAGCTATGGGGCTGTGAAGAGTGGGGGATTTGGGCCACAAACAAGAGAATGATATTTAGAAATAGCAGATTCACAGGGTGGAGAGATGGCTCAGTGGTTAAGAAATAGCAGATTCACTGAGGCAGAATAATTAGGTTTAACATTGGGGGAAGAAAGGTTTGTATTAATGTCACTTCTAAAATAATGCTGAAGGAATCTGAACATTAGCGTCATTTTTTAAAATGAAGTAGAAATGTTCACTGTAAGTGTGATAATAAAAGATAAAATGAATTAACGTGGCTTAAAATCCTCTTCTCCCCAGCCAGTCCTCTCTCCAAAGGAGAGCATCTTTAACATTTGAGTGTAGGCATTTCTAGAGATGCATTGTCTAAAAGATAGCCAGCATCTGGCTTTTGGTATTTGAAAGTCATTAGTCAAACTGAGAGGCCGGTAAACAAAAGCTAATATTGGATTTTGAAGATTGCTTGGGAGAGATGTGGGACACTTTAATTTGCAAAATATTAATCACACATTAATGACTTGGATGTATTGGGTTAAGTAAGTTGTTATTTTTACTTTTATATTTTAAGTGCAGCTACTAGGGAAGTTAAAGGCTATGGAGGCATGCATCATTTCACTGATCAGTCTCTTCTAGGCTTCTCTCCATACATATACAGACACACATACTTGTTGCATGAGAACATATTGCCCTATTTATCTTTCCAAAATTGTGTCTGCAGATCTACATTATTCTTTTTAATGGTTGTGATTATTAGAAACATGGTGGCAGTGATAGGTCTGCAAAGAATGCGATTTCATAAGGACAGGAGCAGAAATCCATTTTGGAGTGGGTTGGGTGCTGATAGAAAATAATCAGTTGTAAAGAAATGAATTGGTCTTTGAAATTCTGAGAGGGTGATCTGGAAGAAATAGTGTGAGGTGAGAATTATAGTAAATCAAAAGATAATTTAGAATTATTAGAAGCAGTGGGTATTAGGGGAATTAAGGAAAGATAGTGATATTTGAATTCGCCATATTGTCTTAACAGTTAGGATCATATAGAATTCTGTTACACGGTGACAAAGTCAAGGCCTCAAAATCTATGATCATGAAGTCCCCAGTGATTCCATAAATTTATTTCCCAAGAGTCCAAACTTTCCTGTTGCCTTTGAGAACCTGAGGTGACTCAAAAGGGACCCATTTTGATGTGGTAATTTCAGGGTCTTCTCAGCATGTCTCAAGTCTTGGTGCTGTGCTATGATTGAGGACTAAGGTGTCAGTTTTCTTTCCTGGAACTTGAACTTCAGATCTTAAAAGATGTGGCAAAGTTGGCTACACTGGAGAGCTGGACTTAATTTTCCTAGTGGCTCTGTCACTCCTTTTCACCATCCAAACCATAACACAGCGCCTACAGAACCTCACGGCTCTGGGAGGCAAAAAGCATCAGGATTCTCTTCGCCTAGAGACCTGGCAGGCAGCCAGACAAAATTTTGAAGCTAATCCAGCAAATAAACTGCATGCTTCTCAGTCCATTAACTCCTTGGCTTCCAAATCCCATATGTATACTGTATTGCCCCATTTTCATTCCGTTTTATGTGGTGTGCCTATTTTTGCAGCTATTTTATAATCTATTGTCTTTCTTAGGTACTGGCAGTACCTTCCCCCTAAAGAATTAATTACAGCTTTAAACCCCTTGTCAGTGATAAATAGATCCTTATAAGTAGTCTACCCATTTTCTTCTCTCTGTTCACCTCTGATTGACTTTAATGCTAATTACTGCTATTCTAATCTATTTCTTGATCCTCAGTGTTGTCATTTGGTTGGGAGACTTGAACTACAGACTCTGCATGCCTGATGCCAATGAGGTGAAAAGTCTTATTAATAAAAATGACCTTCAGAAGCTCTTGAAATTCGACCAGGTAAGTGAATTTTCAATGGCAGAGGTGGTAAAGATTATGAGATAGACACATGTAGGTGTGGCTAATGCAAGAAAAAGATGCCAAGTTCATACTGTCTCATAAGATATTGTGGCTGGGGATATATAGATTTGGAGTGCCTTATGTGCTAAGATTCAAGGGAGATAATGTTGGTGATAAAAAGCAAATGTAAAATTCATTTAGCAAGTAGTTATCAGGCAGAGATTTTAGAAATTTATATACATGGGCTGCAGAATGGGTGAGGTTAATTGGAGACTACTTCCTAGAGGAAATGGCCTTCCGCTGTGTTGATGTGGTTTAGCAGATGGAACACGGAAAATTTCTCTATGATTATTTGGCAGGTTGAGCAACAGCTTGGAGGTAAAAGAGGGAGGAAGGCCCCGTGAAAGAAACTGGGAAACTAATAAAAGAAGTTTGTTTGGAATCATTAGCATAAGCTATAGTCTAATAGGAACTGATTGATAAGTTGGTGCTAACTGGTATTTAGTTGTTGATGTTGAAACCAGTGGAAAGGACTGTGAATAAAACGTTCCCTCAGTGGATAAAACGTTTGTTGTACTAGCATCAGGACTTAAATTAGGATCCTCGGCACCTGTGTAAAAGCCAGGAATAGTAGCATGTATCTGAGACCCCCACTCTGGGGAAGACAGGTGCATCCCAAGGGCTTACTGGTCAACCAGCCTAGTCCAAACAGTGAGCTCCTTGTTCAATGAGAGGCCCTGTCCCAAAATCTAAGGTAAAGAAGTGAGTAAAGAAAACATCCTGCTATCACTCTCTGACCTCTGCACTTTCCCACATGGAAACCCACCCACATATAAACAAACAAGAACAACAAAAGCCCTTGTGAGAAAAGTATTGATTATGCAGTGCTCAGACAAAACCTCATACTCAATAAACGAGTCTCTATGAATATAAGCCACTATGTTGGTGTGTAAACCTGGTAAATAAGTTGAAATTTTATTTTCATACATTTTTTTTTCTTTTTGAGCTACAATATCACTATCAAACTTATCCTAGCCAGCCTTGAACTTACGATCCTTCTGCCTCTACCTCCTAAAGGCTGGTGTAACAGTCACATGCCAACACACCTTGAACATAAAAATAAAATTTTGAAATATAGGCACTGGACAATAAAATGAATGTTCTTTCATGTCATTTCATATTTGATTAATATGTATTAATTGCACATGGTCGTAGTGTTTATTGTGATGTATCAGCATGGAGAGTCAGACCCAGCATCTGGGATCTTGGGGTGTAGCTCAGGGTAGAACACTTGCATTATCTATGTTATGCTATAGGTACAATCTACAGCCCCATAAAAATCGCTCAGGTTATTTTCATGTGACCTCCCCTCACATCCGACTTTATGGTTACCACTTTTCTACTATAGGGTTGACTACTTTTGGCTTTCATGCCTGAGAGCTAAAATGTAACATTTGTCTTTCTGTGTCTGGTTTATTTCATTTAACACTAATTATTTCTAGCCCCATCCAATTTGCTACAAAATGACAGTATTTCATTCTTTATGGCTGAATAATATATATGTGTGTCATGTTTCCTTCATTTAGTGGGTATTAACAGGTACTTTTCTTGGTTCCTCATATTTGGCTATTTTGAATAACGCCACAGTAAATATATTTATACATATCTCTTTGGTATGGTGATTTCACTTCCTTTGATTACATACCCAGAACATCATGGTACAGGAAGGAAATTAAATGCTTCTTAATGAGGAAAGACAAGGTTTTGACTTGATTCAGGTGTCTTTAAATCCTTAAGACTGCCTCTTGCCCTTTTGACACAGTAAAAATTCAGGTGTTTTGCAGCACAATAGTTTTTAATGAGTCTTTCTTGGCTATCTACCTTTACACTGAAGTTGAAGGGCTAATTAGTTTGTGTTTCTTCCTCTTTCTTGCCTCCAGAAAGGGTACAGTTGGGATAAATGTTGAGTCTTGTGTAACTTTGGTAAAATATCTGAGTGAGGATAACTTTTACAACACTGGATTATAGGGCATGGGAAATGAGTACTTGCCTTGCAAGCATGAGGACCTAAATTTGGATCCTGACAGCCACAGAAAAAGCCAAGCATGGTCACATGTACCTGTAACTCCAGCATTAGCAGGTGGTGGTGGAGACAGGAGGATCACTGTATTTGTGTGGGAGTATGGGTCGGTGCATGTGTGTGCAGTGCCCATGGAGGCCACAAGAAGGCTGTGGATCCCTTGGAGCTGAAGTCACAGGTAGTTGTGAGCCATCCAACAAATTTGGGTCCTCTGGAAGACCACTTAAACCACTGGACCATGTCTATAGCCCTGACTCACCCACTGAAATTGGTTTCAGAAATTATCCTTTCAAGGTTTCTATGGGGTTTTGTTGTTGTTGTTGTAATTATAATTATGCTAGGTCATGCCTGCCCAGTTCTAAGCAATGTAGGATTATTCAGAGTCCTTGTTTCCACAATTTTATCCTGGCCATAATTGGCAATAAAATGGCAATGTGCTAATAACAAGTGTTGTCAGAAGATGAGTTCTGATGCTATGGCAATGTTGACATTGAATAAAAATAATATGCAATCTTGTATGTATTTTTCCACAGCTGAAAAGGCTGTGGAACTGGATACCTAGAAGGGGAACAGTGACCAATCAGCCTGATTATCACTTCTGTTAATGTGGTGTTACTGTACTTATGTGGTGTTTCTTTCTGTCTGTAGTTAAACATTCAACGCACACAGAAAAAAGCCTTTGTGGATTTCAATGAAGGGGAAATCAAGTTTATTCCCACTTACAAGTATGATTCTAAAACTGACAGATGGGATTCCAGGTAAAGTGATAAGAACCTTCTCACAGAAAAGGTTAAGTCTTGATCTTTTCTGTATCCTTCCAGGTCCTTCCTGACAGGCTAGCATTTTTTTTATAACATTCCATATGCAGAGAGGGAAATCTAATGGCTCAGTGTTATTACAGAAGAGTATTTCAAACTGAGCTTATATTAGAAAAGTATCAATTAGATGTCAGAGCTGGTGACACTTTATGAATTCTGCTTCTGGTACCCTGTTTCTGTCACCTCTGCAAGCTAGCATAGATTTTTGCCTTCCTAATCTTATTCTTTTTTCTTACCTGATGCTCTTAGACCCTCCCCCAAACTGCTTCTCTGCTACTTAACTTTGGATACCAGAAGGTGAGGACAAAGAATCATAAGCAATTCTTCTAGCATTGTCATCCTTGGGCCTGAGAACACATTAGAATCCATTGGTAAGGGCCTGGAGAGATTGCTCAGTGGCTAGCATACTTGGGGCTCATGCAGAGGACCCAAGTTCAATAACTCCAGCTCCAAGGGATCTGACACCCTCTCCTGGCCTTTGAGGATACCTGCATATGTGTACACATAAATGAAAAATTAGAAATAGGTCTAAGGCGAACTCTTAGAAATCCTCATGTCTGGACCCACAACTGTCATTGTTGGAAAAAAAGAGAACTTTACTCCTTGGAGTCCCTTTGATTTCCTAATTTCCCCAGCAAAGTAACCCTGTCAATAAATCCTTAACTTCTTGTCCCCTACATACTGTTTCTTTCTTTTTTCTATTTTCCTGGGTAGTTTAGAAACCTGAAAGACAAAAGTATCTGTGGGCATACTCATCTGTTTCAGACTGAGAGCGTTGCATGGGGTGCTGGGGGTGGAGGTGAGGGTCCCATGTTCTCACAGAGCAAGTCAACAATTGAAAAGGGACACCAAGGGACCTCTTTTACTTTGCTTTGTTTCTGTCATTTAACATTCAGCTCCAGGAATATTTGAGTCACCTACTAGATCAAGCTTACAAGGCATTTCTTATTTTAATGAATGATGCATAAGTTTTTCTCGCCCTGGTTATTCTGTGGACTATTCTAGTCTCAGGCTTGCGTGAGATTATCAAAGAAGCTAGATGTGTCCATGAAAGTCCAGGCTTCGGAGAGATAGCTTTACTTTTCTCCAGAGATTAAACCCAGTCTGGATACCAGTTTTCAACACAATTAGTTGTCTGTTATGAAGTACCATTGCAATCAAGTGGAGCAAAGGAAAAGAAAATATTCAGAATGGAACCCTGACCTGAGAAGACTATTTTAAGAAGATTCTGTTCCTTCTTTCCTTGTGGTGACATTGTTTAAGACCTAAATTTAATTGTTTAAGACCTAAATTTAGGAAAACCATCCATTCACTAGTTGATACTGGGCAGTAGTACTAGGAATTCAGTGGCTGACAAGCAGATAGGCCAGTATCAGTGCTTGCAATGTGGAGAAGAAGGTGGTGGGGTCCTCCACGAAGGAGAAGTATGTGCCTCATTGGAAGCACATAAAAAGAGGTCTGATGTGATTCTAAAACCCCCCATTACTACATTCTAGTGTGCTGTGTTCTGTTTGTGACTCATTCCTTTATTTACAGTGGGAAATGCCGAGTTCCGGCCTGGTGTGACCAACTCAAAACTAGTGACCACAAACCTGTCAGCGCCCTGTTCCATATTGGGGTAAATAGTTGATTACTCATTCATTTGTTTATGTGTTAAATAGCTATTTCTAGAACATAATATGTAGATATAGAGTGGGTTCGTAATCCAGCATGCCATAAATGTTCTCTAAACAAATAATCATTTGCAGGTTTGAGTGGTTAGCACCCCTATCAACCCTCCCAAACACTATCCTTAGATCTCTTCATGGTTCAGTCTTTTTACTGATGTAGAGGTATTTTATGCCATGTAGGCACAGACTGATCAGACTAGGACCAGATCTACTCATTAAAGAGATAGCATCCTGTGTGCTATGGTAGCATCTTCCTCTCCTCAAACAGCATAGGTATGTTGTTCTGTACTTGGTTGCCTTCTGTGCTGAATTTATAGCCAGTTATTTAATGTTTTGCCTCTATTGTGAATACATTTCTCCCTTTTTAGCTGTGTTATGAGTGTGCAAATTATCTTATAAGCTTACTGATTTATATCTTGATTATTTCCTGTAGATTTTCCACATAGGTGGTCTTGTAACCTGTCAGGATCTAACTAGTGAGATCCTCAAGTCTACTACTTGGTTTTGCATTACAGGTCAACGACTTTGTAATGGCAGAGACTATAGACAATTTATTTAGCATCCTTATGTGTCAGTCTACTCTACAAAATATGCTGGTAATGGGACCTACTCATAAATATTAAGGAGTTCAAGGCATATGTGAAATATGTGAAAGGCATAGTGGCCCAGATTACTTTTGTTATGTCACTTTCAGGGACTGCTGGCATAGGTGTTACCCATGTGTCCTATGGTGACTTATTCTGAGTCCTCCTTTTTATTGATTTATTTGTTTTTATTTTATATGCACTGGTGTATTGCCTGCATGTATGTGTGTGTAAGAGCATCAGATCCTCTGGAACTGGAGTTATGACAATTGTTAGCTGTCATGTGTGTGATGGGACTTGAACTTGGGTCTCCTGGAAGAGCAGCCAGTGTGTGTGACCCCTGAACTATCTCTCTGCCCCCATCCCCACCCCCAAGTCCTCTTTTAAAGAAGAATGACTTTAGGGCATTTCTGTATCCTCTCCTCTGCTAAAGGCTATTGAACCATCCATACAGGGTCCTTGGGCTCTCCGGCCATGTTGGCTTTGACCATTTCCCGACAACTGGCTCTGGCAGCTGGTCATGGGAAGCGCAGCTCACCAAACTTTCCTGTTTAGACACTGTCTGACCTGGTGCCCTTTTTGACTACATCCAAAGCAATTTCAAGGAGGCCTCTCTGTTAGGATTCGGGCATTCAGAATCACACACATGTCCTTCTGTTAGGATTCAGGCATCCAGAATCAGACACATGTGTCCATACCATACAGAACATACATACATCTTTCAGCCCTTCTTTTCTCTGGGACATGATTAGTTTGTTGGAATAAAACATCCTTAACTAAAATCTTTTGTAATCCAGAAGCTATTGCTAATCCTTGAGTGTATGAGGGTCCAAAATATGAACAAATTTGAATACAATCAGAGATACCTGCTTTCTTTCTGAAAGGTCTTAAAACAGTTTCTGACTGGCTGCATTAATTAGCAGCAGCCATGGCCGCAGCTCCAAAGGCTGAAGGCTTTGAGGCTTGGCCTTCCTGCCAGGGACCAGGGGACCCAGAGGCCTCTAATTAACTTTGCCCTCTGTGCCTGGGCAGACCCACCACAGGTCACTTGTGGCTGTGGCTGCTTGCAAAGTTAACCTTTGTAGCAGCTCCAAGACCATGGCACCCAACGGTCCTGCTGGTCTAGAGTGCGTGCAGGGCTGCACCTTTGCTTCCCCGAGCCCAGGTGCAGCTCTGAGACAGCTGCGAAGGGGAGGGATACCTCCAAAATTTAAAGCTTGTAAAAATTTCTGTACTTGCTTCTGCTTTACTCCAGTTCTCCTGGATCTTAAAATATACCCAAGAAATATACAATCATCTAATATTTTTCTGTTTCATATCTACAATTATATACATTTTTACTGCATTTCACTTCACTTTTATCCAAGCACTCACTTTACACCTGTGGTGTCCATTTGCTGTATCCATCACTTCATCCTCTGTGCTCAGGCCCATGTTGCTGTGCCAATCTGTAGTAGCCATCTGTAGTAGCCCCGCTTTGAGGCGCCAGTCTGTATTAACCTATGTTCGTGCCTGAGAGGGACTGTGTAATTAAGAAATGACTTCCTTGAGGGTATTCAACTAGAAAGAGAGCTAAGATTCAATTCCTTAACTCCTACATCTATGGTCTTTCCACTGCCTCATAGGGCCTTAATAGTTCTAATGTACTGATTAAACATGCCTTCAGAAGCTACTTTTAACCCACCGAATTCCAGTTTGTACTTCCAGGACCATCTCTTTTCCTCATGTGAATCCCCCAATGGTTTAAAGAAGATATCACTTCTTAAACACCAGCCTCTTTGGTTTAGTCAGCTATGTTTGGATGTTTGTGTTTGCCTTCAGAACATTGGGATATTTTTCATATTGCACATCAATCCTAATCTCCCACTTAGATATTTTTAAATTTACAAGGGTTCTTTATATTTTTCTATAGCTTTAATAATAGAGTTCTATGTTTCTGATTTTAAATGATATGGCAATCTAAATGAGTTCCTTGTGGGGCTGACAAAGTGGCTCAGTGGCTAACAGCACCTATCACCAGACCTAATGACCTGAATTTGATCCCTGGGACCCACATGGTGGAGAGAATCAGACAACTTGTGGAAGGAGTCCTCCAGCCTCCACATGTGTGTCATGGCACTTGCACACACATACATACAAATAAGGAAATTAAATTGGCTTTTCCTCTAAAATAGAGATCTAAGCAGAATTTACATAGAAGGGTGGGATTCTTTAATATCTGTCATCTCCCACTTGAGACTTTTCCTAAATCCCTACTTCCTAGCCAGGCTGGCATCAGTTATGATTGTTTGTCTTTATAGATTTGTGTCATCATTGGCACTTTCTGTGGTGATGGAAATGTCCTATATCCATGCTAGACATCTGTATATGTCTTGCTGATGAATAGTTTTGTGTGTATGTGTATGTATGTTACAAATGGTCTCATACTATGTGCTGAGCCAAAATTTGCTTATGATGTATAGTATCATCTCTCTATAAGTCATCATGTTAAGATCTAGCTCATTTCCCTTGTATACCGAATTCCTACTTGGTTGGGAATTTCCTTTCTGGAAATGAATATATCACATGGTAAGATTCTTCCCACCATCCTTTGTTATCCTGGATGCTCCATTAAGCAGTGTTAATCCACTGAGAAAAAGCTTGTTTTTACTGAATGACTACTTCATACTTTAGAGCCTTGGGATGGCTATAATTAGAGGCTTTAAAAACTACATTACAGGGCTGGAGAGATGGCTCAGAGGTTAAGAGCACTGACTGCTCTTCCAGAGGTCCTAAGTTCAATTCCCAGCAACCACATGGTGGCTCACAACCATCCATTATGAGATCTGGTGCCCTCTTCTGGTGTGCCAATATACATGGAAGTAGAATGTTGTACACAGAATAAATAAATAAAATCTTAAAAAAAAACTACATTACAGAGCCAGGCTGTTGTGGCGCATGCCTTTAAGCCCAGCACTCAGGAGGCAGAGGCAGGTGGATCTCTGTGAGCTCGAGACCAGCCTGTTCTACAAGAGCTAGTTCCGGGTCAGCCTCCAAAGCCACAGAGAAACTCTGTCTCAAAAAAAAAAAAACTACATTACACAAAAAATCTACATTACACATCTGTGCACCAACACTGGCACCAGTGACTTTTAGCAAAGGAGCCAAGTGTCCTGTTGTTCGTTAGTTTCTAAAGATTTGCTGTGGGCTGTCTGAGATGATGCTGTTCTGAGACAGTGTTCCACCCTGCACTGGGTTCTGTGATCTGTTGCACTGGCTCTCAGATTTTAGTGGGAACACCCATTGCCTAGAGAACTTTTTAAAAAGGAAAGAGATGAAGCCCATACCTCGAGATTGTAATTAATAGGCCGAGGCGCCTGTGATTGTACACCTCACCCAGGTTACCTAGTCTTTGTGCTTACCTAGTCTTTGTGACGGGATCCACATAGTAGTCTACATCTGGCCAGGGAACCAGTTAGGTGAACTGCTCAACTCTCAGAATATTCCTTGCTTCTGTGGCCTTGAAAGTTCTAAAAATACTTGTTCAGAAAGAACAAGTTACAAAATTTTGTAAGAACTTAAGATTCATCTTCACCTAACGCTTACATAGTGTGGGGCTAAAGTGATCAATCCTCAGCTCTCTGAGTTATGGCTCCAGTGTGTTTTTCAAAACAGCTGCCACCGAAACAGAATCAAAGCAATGTACAGCAAGCCGACAGCCGACAGAAAACTACATGGAGAGAAACTCAATGCAATTCCTCTAAGATCAGGGACAAGACAAGGCTGCCCACTCTCTCCATACCTCTTCAATATTGTCCTTGAAGTTCTAGCTACAGCAATAAGACAACAAAAGGAGATCAAAGGGATACAAATCGGAAAGGAAGAAGTCAACCTTTCACTATTTGCAGATGATATGATTGTCTATATAAGTGACCCAAAAAACTCTACCAGGGATCTCCTACAGCTGATAAACACCTTCAGCAAAGTGGCAGGATACAAAATTAACTCAAAAAATTCTGTAGCCCTACAATATACGGATGACACATTGGTGGAGAAAGAAATCAAAGAAACATCACCCTTTACAATTGCCACAAACAACATAAAATACCTTGGGGTAACACTAACCAAAAAAGTGAAAGACCTGTACCATAAGAATTTTGAGTCTCTAACAAATCTAACAGATCTAACAGATCTCCCATGCTCTTGGATAGGCAGGATCAACTTAGTAAATATGGCAATCTTGCCAAAAGCACTCTACAGATTCAATGCAATCCCCATCAAAATCCCAACACAATTCTTCACTGATCTTGAAAGAACAATTCTCAACTTTATATGGAGAAACAAAAGACCCAGGATAGCTAAAACAACCCTGTACAATAGAGGAACTTCTGGAGGCATCACCATCCCTGATTTCAAG